TGGTTTATTATTTTCAATAATGAACCATTGTAATCGAACAAAAAATTCAAAAACTTATTCCCTTCTCAAAATTTAAGGTTTTACATTTCAGGATTCGTAGAATTTGAAAAATAATAATAAAATTTTTATTAGAAACCTGTGTTGCTACAGACTGTAGCGCCTAAATGAATGTATGGATTTCAATGAAACTTCGCTAAAGTCTTCTTCTCGATGCCCTTTAAATTTATCTATATAACATACTTCAACTAAGAGAAGCTGGAAAATAATTTACGAGAGGCGGTAAAATTTGATTGCGAATAACTCAAAAATTATACACTTTTTTGTTAGTATTTTATATGGTTATTTAAAAGTTTACAAAATTTCCTTAACAAAAAAAAAAAAAGGAGAAAAAAAAGATGGTTAAATTGATCAATTTGGAGCAAAGATATGGGCTCTAGATGTTTTTTATATGTTCTACTGCAAAGGTTATATCCTTTGTTTTGGATTTTGATTTTTGAATGTGTGACTGAAGTAATGTTATTTTTTTTAGCCAATTACAAATTATGAAAAAAAAAATGTTTAGGCCAATAATTGGAATCACCTTTTATTTATTTTTCTTTGGCACTAGGTAATCTTACTTTAGATGTGTGATTGTTTGGAAATATTAAACCATTGTGAAATAATTTGCAGCGTTTTTCATAATTTATTGTACATTAGAATTCGTCTATAATATTGTAATAATATTGTTTTCTTATTTAAAAAAAAAAAATCAATTGATATATAACAACTTAGAAATCCATGCAGAGTAAATTCAGAAAAAATTGATATAAAATAATAATAAAATTTTATAAAATATTTGTTTTCCCAGCTCCTAGGACATCTAGGGCACATTGGCAAGAAAGCTCAGATATAAAATATTTTTCGACCTAGTATCACAAAAAAAAATGTTTCATTGAAATCGGTGAACCTATATCCTTAACCTCCCCTTGTAAGTACAATAAAATATCTGTTATTAATGTTGTTTTGGTTTATCTTTGTATTTCTGTTATTGTTAATCATTTTGTGCCCATTTTTTTTTTATCAATGATAATAATAATAATAATAATAATAAAAGGCTTAGCGACCCCGAAGGTCCGATGCCCACACCACCAATCGCTTATTACACACCTCCTTCCAACGTTCGCCGTCCAAACCCAGTCCCTTCAGATCGGCTTTAATGCAATCTTCCCATCTTCGCTTCGGTCTACCCCTCAGACGCTTATCATTCGGCACAGCAAATATTAATCTTTTAGGAATTCTCTCGTTACTAAGCCCAACAACTTTACAAGCCCATTTGATTCGCCGCGACGAAATTACCTCAATTATATTACCCGGATACAGTTCACGCAATTCGGCGTTGTGTAACCGTCTGAACTCTCCGGTTAACTCATCCTTCTTCGGTCCGAATATTCTAAGCAACACTTTATTTTCAAAAACCTTAAGACACTGCTCATCCCTTAGTGTAAGCGGCCAAGTTTCGCATCCATAAAGAACTGCAGGCAAGATAATTGTTTTATAGATTCTGATTTTTAAGTTCCGGGACAAGAGGCGCGAACTGAGTAGTTTTGTCACAGAAAAATAACAAGCATTTCCCGCCTTCAGTCTAACCTTAATCTCTTCTTCAATTTCGTTTTTTCTAGTTATTGTAGAACCTAGATACCTAAATTTATCTACCTGTTCAAACATATTACCATCTATATCGATATCACCAGTAGTATTGCCATTTTTGCAGCTAACCATATATTTTGTTTTATCCACGTTTATTTTGAGTCCTAGTTTTTTACCGGCTTTCATTAACGTTGTCGTATTTAGCTTTATAGTTTCAACGTCTTCGCTTAACAGTACCAGATCATCAGCATTGCCCAGCACGGATGTTGTCCCACCCAGATCCAACCCTTTCTCGGTACGCATTACCTCCCTAATGGCATGTTCTAATGCCAAATTGAACAGTACAGGCGAAAGGGAATCCCCCTGTTTTAAACCCGAGCGAACTTCAAATTTTTCCGACAGATTATTACCGATTCTAACTTTATTGAGTGTCTCCGTCAAACACATCCTGACTAGATTTACTATTTTTTTTGGGATCCACTGCTCGATTAGAATATTATACAGTTTCTGGCGGTCAATAGAATCGTAAGCCTTTTTAAAATCTATATACAGCTGGTGAACAATACCGTTGTACTCCAATTTTTTCTCTAATATTTGCCGTAAAGAAAATATTTGATCAATAGTTGAACGATTCCGTCTAAATCCGCATTGGTAGTCTCCGATAATTTCCTCGGCGTATTCCGTGATTCGACTGGTTAAGATTAAAGTGAATATTTTATAACATACCGGAAGGAGTGAAATTGCTCGATAGTTATTACAATCCGTCCTCGGGCCCTTTTTGTGAATCGGAATAAGAATAGATTCTTTCCATTCCTCAGGTAATTTCTCATTCACCCAGATCTTTTTAACCAACCGATGTATTTTAGAAACTTCAGCTTCCCCGCATGCTTTAATTAGTTTAGTAGGAATATTATCGGTTCCCACTGCTTTATAAGATTTTAATTTTCCGATAGCTACTTCAACTTTCTCTTTACTTGGTCCTTCTACTAATGGTTCGGCACTCTGGTACTCAGAAGGAGGACACAGATCATAATTTCCCGTATTTAAAATATTGTCAAAGTGGTCCTTAAACTTATTCAATATGTCAACCGGATCGGTCAGAATATTGTTATTATCATCCCTAATTCCAGACGTTACGGGCCCTACACATTTTCGTGATCTGTTTATACCTTTGTACATGTCTCTTACGCTATTTTCGATTTTATTAGTTTCTATTTCAATTATTTTATTTTTAAGATACTCCCTTTTTTTATTTTTGAGCAATTTTGTCGTTTCGTTCTTTGAGGTTCGGAAGTATTCCAGGTTGTCTTCGCTAGGATTATTTAGAGCTTTTAATTTAGCGGCTTTTCTTTTTTCGCACATATTTAAGCAATCTTCATCAAACCACGGTTTGTTATTCTTATTTTCCTTTTTGACTAGACACGAGTTACCGACCGCTTTAATATTTTCCCTGATCTCTACCCATAACTTGTCAATATCCTCGTGGTCCTCGTCAGGAAGCTCTAAGCTCTAAAGCTTCGAACCTATTCTTAACATCTAGCTCGAATTGGGTTGGGTTCCCCCGTTCGGGTCTCCAGGTGGGGACTGCTTTAGGGGATTCATGGCGCAAGCTGAAATATAGGGATTTTTTTTTATCAAAGTTTAAATATATTTTAGATGTCTCCGTATTTGTTAGTTTTATTATTATATGTTAGATTATTATTTATTTTATTATACTGAAATTCATTTATATTTTTTAGAAATTTTTGTCAAGTACAGTATATTCTTTCTTTTTATTTTTTTTTTAAAATAATGTTTATTAGTATTGGCCTATTTATTATGTCTTTAACTATATTTATTTTCTGTGTGTAGAGGTAACTGGAGCTGTAATTTAATTATCTCTTCCTAGTAATTTCTTTCTTGGTCCATCTAGTTTTTATATTTCTCTTTCAAACTTTAGTTATTAGTTTTTCTATGGTAAATGTTGTTATTTCCAGTTCCCCCTCTAAATGGTCCATTGTGCATATATTCTCTATATATACAAACAACTGATTAGCTCATTGACATGATTCTTATGAATATATCCTGTAAGATCAAGATTGGCAGAGATGCTCCAAAGGATAAAGTTGAGAAATGATTACAGCTGTATGACCCACTGTCAATCCTGCTCTTTAACCTACAGTTAGAGTCCTCAATTCATAAAATAAGATTAAATCCGGGTGTTACAATTTTCAATCGCCTGACATAACTTGCTATTGCAGATGACATGGTTATCTCAGCAAGAGCACTTCAAGCTTTATCAAGTGTACTGAAAGAGTTCTTGGGAACTGCAAGGGAACTCGGGCTTCAGATTAAATCCCAGAAGACCATGTATATGCAGATTGCAAGGAATTATGGCGAAAAAAGGACTCCGACTGGGAGAGTACCAAATACAATGTTGTTCGGTATTTAGGTGCCTCAGTAGCTGGATAATCAACGATAATTTGACAGGATTTCTGCTGGGAACCATTGCCTATGTGGAAACCATAACAGCAGAAAACAAGAGTTTTAAAACTCTGAGAGAGTACAGTAGTACAAGGAGGTGATTTGACTGAGATCACACCAGTAGGTTTTCTCCTTTAATTAATTAATTAATTAAGAGTTCCCACTCTATAGAGGCTGGGTGACCTCCTGACACCAGGGTCATTCCACGACCGATGAAACAGAAAAAACAATTTATCTGCTATCAGCCAAATTTAAACCTAGGACCTAGAGCTCTGGAAGTCAATGTCCAACCCATTGGGCTATCCACTCCTCATTTATTTTATAGTTGATCATTCATGTATATTCCATTGAAATTTATAGTCCCTCCCATAGGTATTCCTCAGAATTGCTTATAGAATTCAACATTTTGTTGTTATGCCATAGCATCTTTTTACACCTGCTTTTTACTTTTACCCTCCATCATTATAAGACTTTAAAAAGCCATCTAAATGAACTAAATAGAAAAAAATATTTGAATTAATTTTTATTACTATATTCCTCTTTACACTGTACATATTTTTATCTTGTACGACCATGTTCTTTTTTTTTATTACTAGCTTCTATTAGTTGTATGATTTCTACTATGTTTTCTCTTTTGCTATTGTATTATCTTAATTTTTTTTTTTTATGTCATATGAGTTAATAATGCTATAATTATTATTTCTGTTAAGTTTTCATCCACAATGTTTCAATTTCATCCACAAGTTTTATTTCTGTTAAGTGTTCATCACACAAGTTTGTGTGATGTTGTTTATGACGGATCTTAATTCACTAATAATTATCCTCTTTTATCTAATAATATCATGTTCAATATTTTTTTAGGTTTCAGTTATAGAATAATGTAAAATTATGACTAAAGTTGGTAATTTCAGATGGCGGAGTTACATTTAAGAGTCTAATATCAGCTACCGACAGTAACAGTATCCCACTCCTGGTTATTCCCCTTCTGGTGATCTTCGGTTCAGCTGTTGTATTACTAATATTTTTTTACTTGCTAAACATTAATCCTGGGCCATATGGAAGTGCTAGACCCGTTTATTTTATATTACCAGTAAGTAATTTTATTTTTACTATTTTAATATCTTTAAATAAAAATGAAAAATAAAATTTATTTATTCTGGGAATAAGATAAAATAATGAGAGGTTATGTTACAATATATCAAATAATTTAGCTATATTTCTTTGAATGACATCTTGTTTTTAACTATTAAATAAAGAATAATTTGTTTTTCAAAATAACAACTGAAATGAATTTATCTATTATATTTTCATCACTTTTTTGAGTTTTCAAATAAAAAATTGAAGTTTAAAGTTCTTTTAACCACTCTGTGAAAACTTTTTGACTTTTATTATATTTCTTCTTACAATTTTTCTCTTAAATCTCATGAAAATGTGAATGGCTTTTCATGGTTCAAACTATTTTCTGACTTTAGTAGTAGTCTAAAAGGAAAAAGAGTATAAGATATGGTCATAGTTTTCAAGGTTCAAACGATTTTCCAACTATTAAGTGATAAGCTAAATGGAAAATAAGTTTTGTAATTTTATGAATTTTTATTTAGTAATAATAATAATAATAATTTTATTGCTCAAAAGTATAAAACTTTATAGCAAGGAGTAGACTAAATTAACAATTCAAACTTCTTAAATTAACATTATAAACTTCTGTTGAAGATACATTTTCATTGATAAAATACAGAAAATATAAATATATTTGTATAATTACGTTTTCAGTCCCAATACAGTACAATAAATAATACAATAGAACAGAATAATATAGTGAAACAAAATACACTGAAACCAAATTTTCCTGTTTTGAAACTTCCCTACAAGTTTATTGAAATCTATTCTGTTTTCTACTCTTAAGGTGGCTTCCACACAATTTATGGATAGCTCTGTGGCACCTATAACTTTCCTTCTAATGCCATTGAAGATAAGGCAATTGCTAAGGAGATGGAAAATTGTATCTTTACTTTTTTTTCACAATGCACAGTTCTCTTCTGGTTGGAAGTTGATGACTTTTTTGTCCAAATAGATTCTCATTCCATGCCTTTCTCCCATCAGCTTTATCTGAGCTACCAATATGATTTTAGCTATTGGCGTCTTCCTGTTTAAGTAAGGTTCATTTCCATCTATATATATATAATAATAATGCTTTATTTATTCTGGGACGAGTCCCTTTAGAATAATACAGAGAGACAAAAATGTGGGCTAAGGAGCCTCAGAGATACATAAAGAAGAATATAGTTTGATTAAATAGTAAAAAAAAAAAAAAAATAGATAAATGAAAAAAAAAAATAAGAGAAATTATAAGTTACTTTCTAATTTACATCAGTTAATAATAAAAAGTAAAAAATTGAAAATAAACATGAAGTAAAAATAATAAAGAACGATCTAATAATTTATATACATATTTACAGTAGTAACTATTTACAATTTTATGATGACTGGATGGATAAGAAATGATTAAGCAGTTGAGATTTAAAGGCAGGAAGGGTTTTGGATTGACGGATGTGGGGAGGGATGGAGTTCCATAGGGAAGAGGATCGAATAATAAAAGATTTATCGAAAGCAGCGGTTCGGTGGGCCATTATATATAAATCTGAAGACCGGGAACGGGTATTGCGGGAGTGGACAGAGGATTTAAATTGAAGGAGCTCGGCAATGTATGAAGGACGGCGGGAGTGAATTACTTGGAAGTGGAAGGATGCCAGGAAATACTTACAGCGGTAGGAAGGGTAAAGCCACTTCAACTCTTCATAGAAACAGGAAAGTCTCTTGGGATCCTGAAGATGAATCGTACAAAGCAATTTATCAAACGTTTTAGTTTCGCCTCGAGATCCCCAGAGACGCCTCCATATACCGTGCAGCAATAGTCGAAGTGGGGAAATATTAAGAAGGTGACCAGGAGTCTACGGATTTCAAAAGGAAAAAGGTGTCGCAGGCTATTTAAGTGTTTTAGGGTGGAAAAGGTACGTCGGGAGATATTGGACACATGGTTTTTCCAGGAAAGGGTTTGATCGAAGATTATTCTAAGGTTTTTGATGGTGGGATAAAATATTATATATTGTAATGTACACCTTTATTGGAAGTTGTTAAAAAGGTTTTAATAAATTAATGCCGAACAGTTAAAAGGCAAGCTAATCTAGTTTTATTAGTGGAGAGAAAAGAAAATGGCTGCTCTGTAGTTTTTTTTTTTATGTTGGCCATAAGCACGTCGACCCCTACTGGGTCCATTGTGCGCCAATTTCAGTTAGTCGTTTTGTTTAAAACGTTAATTCTGTCGCTTCCGCGTATCTAAGTAGGCTGATTGGATTGACCGACTCATATCTTCTGGGGAGATCCATCTGTTCCTCCCCAAATACCAGTATTTCAGATTGAAACACTGAAGCATACCTGCCAAGTGGTATAGAAATTTTTTCTTTTATATCTTTGCGATAGATGCCTGCTCCAGAGCCGAAGGCTGTTAGAGAGCCATCTGTATAGCAATTTATTCCATTATTTGGTTTATGATTTCTGCTGCTATCTATCCCAACCTTATATTTTCGGTCCTGATATTCTCGGATTAGAGTGTCAGAGTGCATAGCTAGTACTCCTTCACGTCTTAGTCCTCCTTGACAGGGGACTGGTGAACAGTAAGTTGACTTGCTTAACCTGTATAATGTGTTTGTTGCCCGAACCTCCACCTCCAGCTGCAGCGGAGGCATGCTCAGCATTACCTCCATGGCAGCCCTTGGTTATACAAGCAAGCCTTTGAATCTTTCCTAATGAGGATAAGTTGGCCAGTCTTTGCTTTGTGCCACCATAGCAAAGCTGAGTAAAGTATGATAGGTCTGACTGTCGTTGTGTACAGCCAGTATACCATTTTTGGTTTTAGTCCCCAATTCTTTCCTATCGCTCTTTTACAGGCCCATAGGCATTTGAGGGCTTTGAATGTGTTTAGTCCATGACAGTTTATGGTCCAAAATGACTCCAAGGTGATTTACTTCCTTACTCAGTGTCAATTGGATACCATTAATTTCCGGCATTTTAATAACTACCTTCTTCTTCTTAGTGATACACACATTGATTTTCCTAGGGTTGATGCTTAGTCCATTAATCCTGCACCAATTCCTAAGAATATTAGACACAGTACTGAGGATATTAGAGAGGACACTCTGATGCCTCCCTCCTATGAGGATGGCAATATCGTCAGCATATCCCTGAGCATAAGTGCCTGCAGTGTTTAAGGCTTCCAATAATGAGTCAGCCACAAAACACCACAGTAGCGGAGAGAGCACACCTCCCTGTGGACATCCACCACAGGGTTTAATCCACAGTTCCTTGTGCCCTATTTCTGATTTTAGAACTCTGTCCTCCAGCATTCTCCCAATCCATCTGGAGGTCATAGCGTCTATGTCTTTTTTCCTTAGTGCATCATTTATGATGTTGTAAGGAGTTCTATCAAAGGCACCCTCGATATCAACGAAGACGCCTATCATGATTTCACTCTGTTCTAAGGATTTCTCTATTCTTGTTAACAAGTTATGAAGCGCCACCTCACAGGATTTTCCTGGTTGGTAGGCATATTGCTTTAAATGTTTTGGACTAGTAGCCAATATATGTTCCCTAATATGTCTGTCCAGTATCTTTTCCAATGTCTTCATTAAGAAAGATGACAGACATATTGGCCTAAATGCCTTGGGGTCTTCATAAGATTCCTTTCCTGGTTTAGGAATGTATCGCACTTTGGATATCCTCCATTTACATGGTAGATATCCCAGTGCTAGGCTACCTCTTAGAAGTTTCAGAAGGTATGGCCTTATCTCTGGGAGACCCTTCTGCAGCAGTGCTGGAAAGATTTCGTCAGTTCCAGCAGATTTGAAAGGAGAGAATGAATTCATTGCCCATTCAAGTCTACTGTTTGTTATCACTCTTCTTGCCAGACCCCACATACGTGCACCAGTACCACGATCCTGTGTATTGGGGTCAAGAGGTTCATTTACTGTCGTAAAAAAATTTGGGAAATGAGCTTTTGCTACCACACTCAATGTTTCTATCTCATTCGTGGTGTGTTTATCATCATATTTGAGTGTTCCCATTATACCTGTATTGGTTTGTTTTGACAGTATTTTGTTTACCTTACATACCGCCGGCATGTTGTCCACCTCCAGACAAAACCTTTTCCAGGCTTGTCTTTTGGCTTTCCTGACAGATTTGTGATACTCAGTAAAAGATTTCCTATAGGTATCCCAATTGCCAGATTTTTTAGCAGCATTGAACAATCTCCTCATGAGTGTTCTTTGCTTTGTTAGACTATCATTCCACCAGGACACTTTCCTGTTGGTTGTAGTTTTTTTGACTTCATTACTGGCCAGATATGCTCTAGTCATAGCATCAGTAATTGAAGTATTTAATATTTCTAATTGCCATGTATTGTGGATAACTTTGGGGCAGCATTTAACAGCCTCCTCCAAGTTAGAACTATAGGACACCCAGTCTGTTCGTTTGGGGTCTCTATATTCCACATCATGTTGTATTCTGTCAGATATATCAAATCTGATATACCTGTGATCCGAACATGTTTCTTCATCAAAGACATGCCAGTTATCTATAAGGACACTAGTCAATCGAGTCGCTGGTGTTATGTCTATGATCTCAGTCCTAATTCTATTACAAAAGGTAGGCTTGTTCCCCCTGTTCAGAATATCAAGATCATATTTAATAATAATCTCTAAGAGTTTCTCAGCTCTTGAGTTGATTTTTGTGCTTCCCCAGATCTCGTTGTGTGAATTAGCATCCAGGGCAGCCACAATTTCCTCCTTGCTCTTTAGTAATTCATCCATTCCTTCTGCAGGTTCTGGATGTTCATATGGCAGATAGACCGCCGCTATGATTAATGATCTATTATACCCTTGTTGGGTATATTTAGCTGCTGCAAGATCTCTAGAACAAAATTGCCATAGAGGCAGCAGTTTTAGTTTGTTTTTATAAAGAAGGCAGGCTCTAGGATATGTGGGTTACAAATTACATCAATATCATTCATTACCTTTTATATACTGTCGCAAAACTCCA